GAAAAACCTTAGAAAGAGTAAAAAATCACGAGGCTTAACCCGGTTGCAATAATCCACCATGTCATTTTGAGTACATAAGTCTGTTCTTCTCCAGAATTAGAGAAGTTGGAGTTACAAAGTTAATATACAACGACAACTCAATAAAAAATAGATATAATAGTAGAGGTGTCTCCCCAATACTACAACCAACGTATACACATACATGGCGAGCTGTCCATGATCGATGGCTATCAAGATTGGAGCTCACCATGTATGTGTAGACGTTGGTTGTAGTATTGGCTTGTCGTAGAGACCGTAATTGCAGATCATGTGTAGTTGACCATATAAGTCATAGATGATTGCTTCACGAGTGTTGATTGACCACTAAGGCAGTAGTTTCGAGTTAGGGAAGCCGTGAATCTTGTTGGTCGTAGTTGGTCTCGTATGTTGTAATGGTGAGCTATGATGACATCCGTATGCTGCAGAGTTCTGAGTGGGGAGCTAAAATGTCGTGTTAATGTTCATATACCATAGGTGGCAAAGTTGAGAGCTGTGTTAGTTGTTGTAACATTTGTAGACGATAGAGGTCAGAGTTGGGAATTGCATGAGTTCTGACCTATGCACATTGAAGTAAGGAGCTGCACGACCTGTGACAGCGTCCATAGGTCATGGATACCGGAGTTGAGAGTTGCGTTATCTGAGATAACTTTTGTAGGTCGTCAATATTAGAGTTGGGAGCTGCGTGAGCCTTGAGTCATAGATGTCGTAGGTGGTCACATAGTTTGTGATGGAGAGTTACGCTATACTCAGGGTGCATTATTACACCTTTTCAAGGTTTGTCGTTACACTATTTTCAGAGTGCTATTGTTACACTATCTTTGAGGTGCATTTCTGCAATGTATTCGGGGTGACATCATTACACCGTCTTAGGGATACGTTGTTGCACCATCTTCGGGGTGTTTTTTATGCATCGTCTAGAGGTGGCGCAGTTACACAATATTCGGGGTGCATTAATGCATGACCTTTGGGGTCTGTTCTGCATCGTCTCGGGGTATTGCTGCACCATCTAGTGCTCAAGCCCAGGTCCTTTCTTATGATGGGGGCAAGGCTCTATTTATAGAGTCTTGGAGAGACCTTCCAACAAATAAGGAAATAATACGGACTACTTCATCAAACAACCTTGAGAAGTTCCATGGATCAGACAACATTCTATGAACATTTGAGTGTCTCAATGATATCAAAATTAAGTGATTTTGTGTTCGTTGGATTCATCCTGTAGAGACGTTAAATTTTAATATAAGCTTGTCAAATTTAGAATTTGTTTGACTTTCAATTGAACATTGGAGCTTTCAAAATTTTCTTAATGGCTCCATATGAATTTGATTTGACTTGGATTTGATGAATTTTAATATCATTGTGTTCGTCTCACTGAGTTGACCAATTTGGCTGTAAGTTTGATGAAATTAAAGTTATGGATGAGTTTTAATTAAAGTTTGAATGTTACTTGCTCAAAAAATTATCTCGAGATTCATGTCACACTTCAAAATCTGTGTTGAATAATGAAAATTTGTTGATATCACATTAATTAATTTGATTGAAATAAATGTGAAAGCATAACATCAATTATATCCTTTTTATTATATATGATAAGAATAACCTAATTTACACATCAATAGTGCAATGTTGATAATTAATATATTTTCTTTTTACTAAATCACTATATTTTAATATGGCGTCTTATTACAAGGGAAATTAAATTTGTAAAATATGACTGATTAATTCATTTTTTAAGATAAATATGGTACAAAATTCGTCAATTGAAATGAATAGAATAAAAACATTAGCTCCTAATTCTCTCCAACACATTTCCCTTCCCAATCTCCATTGACCATAAATACAAAAAAAAACAAAAACAAAAATCATCATATTATTTACCTGATTTTAAAGTTTTTTTTGAAATCTATATATAGTGTAAAGTTTGTCAATGAGCGTATTTTTTGGGGCAGCTGTGGTTGTTTGAAGAAGCATCTGTGAAATACTGCAGAAGAATTTGTCGTTTAAAAAGCTATGGTCGTTATTGTCTAATTTTTTTTGTTTAAAAAATAAGTCATATTGTAGCTTTTTAACAACCACAAGATTTAACTAGGTCCGGTTGCAAAATCTCGCTTCAGCTGCAGCTTTTGGAAAAAAAAACAGACAATAAATGATTTTACTATATAAAAAAAATTGTGGCGCTGCACAACACAGACACTGGACTGCTGTCTCAAATGCACCGTGAGTTGATGGAGCTTTCTTAGCAACACCTTTGAAGTATAATTTTTTTGAGAAAGGTGAGCCAAAGGGCACTTCGTGATAATTCGAACACACAATTTTACAGTGAGAGACTACATCCCCAACCACTATGTCGAACATAAATGCCTAATTTGAAGTTGTTGAAGACGGATTTTTCTTATAGAACATGCCCGTGGCATCGAGCGTAGGACCAAGTGAGAGACAGAGGAAGATATATTGCTCAATAGAGCTGAATAGGGGTATTTCTGGGCTCTTTGGCCTTTTTTATTCTACTAAAAGGGTGATTACAAGAGAGGCAAGAGGAGAGTTCTCACTATATATGGGGTTGAGAGAGGATAGCCCTAAGAACTTTTAACACATATCATGGGTCCTCTATTTATGGTAGATGGAAATCCGGAAAATAATATTATAAGAGTACGGTTGCTTTAAGATGGGAAGTACAAGTCATTTTGGTCTTTTCCTTACCTCGACCTAACCTTCTAGAATGTTCCGGTGGACGGTACTCCTCGGCGTTGAGTGGACGACCGACCATTGAGGTTGGCAGGCCGTTGGGTGGCTAGCCGGTGGTTCTGTGGTGACTGACCAAGGTAGTCCTATGTTGGCCTGCCATAGGTGGCCGACCAGTTTGATCATGGGTGGCCAACCATAGTTGAATGGCTGGTTTAGGAGGGTGGTCGATCAGTCGAATATAGGTGGCTAACAAGGGGGGCTAGTCGATTGACTATGGTTCAGCCGGCTGGATGAAGATGTTGTTGCTTATGCAATTTCGTCGATGACGTGTTTTAACCTGAAAAGGACACTGTTTCTATCATACATAAAACCCTACGAGTCTTTTACTTTTTGGAAGCATGACTCCAATAACAATGAAAGATTTAAAATACAAAAAAAAAATATTTTTTTTTTTGTGAATCACTAGTTATACTCTCTTAGTCTTATGTAGTTTTTTGCGTTATTTTTGAGTTATTTTTGATGTGTTGACCGACAACCCGTTCTTTGAGAAGATCATTAGTTAGTTTTTAGATTTTAAGGTGTGGTATTTACCCAACTCAAGTCTCACACCTCGCCCGTCTCGTTTGCTCGGTTGGATCATGGACTCGCTTTGGTTGCACCGTTTGTCAGCTCTTAGGAGGATCTTGTCGCTGCCTTCACGGGGATAATCATTGAGACTCTCGATTGGGGTGATTACGTCGTTCCCTTCACAAAACTCGTCACTACTGGACAGAAAACCGCCTCTATAGTCCTTTCTGAGTTTAGTATGGAGACAGTTTTTGGATGCTTACAGTGTGCGTGTGTGATTTTTTCTTTCTTCTTTCTGCTTTTTTTCTTTTTTGCTTTTTTCTTCCTCTATGTAGGATTTTCTCCCATTTTGGTGTGCTCCTCGTCATGTTGATGGTACGGTCCATGCTCACCATACAAATGTTGAAGCTAGATTTGTCCTGTAGACCGTGCTTAATTCATAGAGTATAGAACCAAGGGAGAGGAAGAGGGAGAGAGAGAGAGAGAGAGAGAGAGAGAAAGGAAGAGGTTTGCTCCATAGGAGCTAATATGGGTGTTCTCGGGTTATTTGACCTATTCTGCTCCACTAAAAAGAGTGATTATAAGAGAGTGGTGGAGTTCTCTCTACACGAGGGTTTAGAGAGGAGAGCATCAAGACCTTTTAATACATGCCATCAATCCTTAGTTTGTAGCAAATGAAATGAGAGAAAATTATATTACATGAGTACCCTTGCTCTGACGTTTTATTTGGCAGGACATGTCGGTGTAGAGTAGTCGGCCGGTCAATGGGGATAGTTGGCCATAAGGCGGCCGACATGTTGATCATGGGTTGTCGGCCATAGGAGGCCGACCAGCTTGATCATGTGTGGCTGACCATAGGTGATCGAATGATTTAGAAAGGGTGGCATGTCGGCCTAGTAGTGGTGGTGGCGGGATGAAGATGTTGTTGATTGTGTGACTCTGTAGACAATGTCTTAACTCTGGGAGGAGCCTTTTATTTTTTATTTTTATAACTTAATTTTTAACTATAGTTATCATCAAAATTTAAATTAGAAAAGAAAACAAAAACCGTAAATAGAACCGCACTTCAGAAGGAAATTGCCCCCCGACGACCATTCAAGTGGACCACTATCCTCTTCTAAGAGGAAATTGCACTATTTTCTTCCATTAAGTGGGCCCAAACCTCCGGGACCGCGGTTTAGCAACTATATATCAGAAACCATTTTTCCCGCATAAAGCTCTGACAACAATATCGTATCACCCGTACAGTTGTCCCAATTCCAATCGAACTGCCAAACGAGGCAACGGTTGATCCGATTTTCCGCATAGAATTTAGTATAGAGATCATCCGCACTAAAATCTTACCTGCCACTGTTCCCGCCGCAAATAAACAATATCCAAAATTTCAATTGCAACCTCACAAAGCCTTTTATTTAGTGATTTTGACATTTACACATACCACCCAACTTTTATATATTTTCATAGCTAACACCTAAATTTTAGATATTACATTTATACCAGCCAAATCTTTCATATCATATAACAAAAATTATCATTTTAATCATTTAATGCATCTTCTCATGCATGTAAGGTGATGTATATGAAAATAATTAAATTTAAAATCTAAATATGTAAATACATAAGAATTAAGTGGTATGAATGTAAACTTTTTTTTCTCGATTATAAATTACTGTTTTTCAGACCATCTTCTTTTTTAATTCTCCCTCCATTTATTAAAACAAATCGTTTCGGAATAGGAATCCCACTCACTGCGGCCCTCATCATCCCTCCCTCGCCCATTCCTATTTGAAGACCGTTCACTTCTTCTCCTCTCGCATTCCCGGCCATGGCGAAGAGAAGCCGAGGCATCGCTCCGCCACTCATCTCTATCATCTTCTTCCTCAGTTTGATAAATTTGATCTCCAGTAACAAGACCTATATAGTCTACATGAACCCTGATTACAAACCGTCAGTCCACCCAACTGACGCCTACTGGTACGCATCCCACCTCGCTTCCCTCTCCATTAACCCTTCTCGCCACCTCCTCTACTCCTACTCCGCCGCACTCCACGCCTTCGCTGCTACCTCTCTCCTCCCCCGCCACCTTCGCATTCTTCGCCGCTCCCCTGCCGTCCTCCATATCCACCCCGACCCCTTCCTCCGCCTCCACACCACTCGCACCCCCTTCTTTCTTGGCCTCTCTCCCTCTTCCCCATCATCCCCATTCCGCGCCGTTGACGCCGCGTCTTACTCCGTGGTAATCGGCGTCCTCGACACAGGTATCTGGCCCGAATCCCCTTCATTCGACGACACCTTATTTCCTCCCATCCCCTCCAGATGGCGCGGACACTGCGAAGCCGGAGTGGATTTCTCCCCTTCTCTCTGCAATCGTAAACTCATCGGCGCTCGCTGCTTCTCCCTCGGTTTCCTTGCGGGTTCGCCCGGCAAGCCTCCACAGGAATACGACTCTCCACGCGACCGCGATGGCCACGGAACGCATACCTCCTCCACCGCAGCCGGCGTTCCAGTTTTCAATGCCAGCTTTCTCGGGTATGCCTCCGGTACCGCCCGTGGTATGGCTACCGCCTCCCGTGTCGCGGCCTACAAGGTCTGCTGGGCCACTGGTTGCTTTGGATCCGATATCCTCGCCGGCATCGACCGCGCAATCTCCGACGGTGTAGACGTCCTCTCGCTTTCTCTCGGCGGAGGCACCGCGCCATTCTTTCACGACACTATCGCTGTTGGTGCCTTCGCTGCCGCCGAGCGTGGAATCTTTGTCGCGTGCTCCGCAGGCAACAGCGGGCCGGGATGGGGAAGCGTCACCAACGCTGCTCCATGGATAGCCACCATCGGCGCTGGAACAATCGACCGCGATTTCCCCGCTTACGCGATCCTCGACTCCGGCGAACGCTTTACCGGCGTATCCCTTTACAGCGGTGAAGGAATGGGTGAAACCCTTGTTCCCCTTTTTTACGACAACCGCAGCAACGCCAGTCGAATGTGTCTCGCCGGCACGCTGGATCCTTCGAAAGTGAAGGGAAGAATAGTACTCTGCGATCGCGGAGTCAGCGCGCGGGTTGAGAAGGGCACGGTCGTAAAAGACGCCGGTGGTGTCGGCATGATCCTGGCCAATACGGCGGCGAATGGAGAAGAGCTCGTCGCCGACAGCCACCTCATACCGGCGGTAGCTGTCGGCAAGATCGCTGGCGATAAAATCCGGAAACATATGACTTTGAATCGAAATCCAAAAGCTGTTCTCCGCTTCGGCGGTACGGTGGTTGGAGTCCGCCCCTCGCCGGTAGTTGCAGCATTCAGTTCTCGAGGCCCAAATCCAGTGACGCCGGAAATTTTGAAGCCAGATATGATAGGGCCGGGGGTCAACATACTCGCCGGCTGGTCGGGCTCCGTCGGGCCAACCGGCATGCCCAAAGATGGCCGGAGAACGCAGTTCAACATAATGTCGGGGACCTCCATGTCTTGCCCTCACATCAGCGGTTTAGCAGCGCTGCTAAAGGCTGCCCATCCGGACTGGAGCCCTGCGGTAATCAAGTCGGCTTTGATGACGACGGCCTATACTCGCGATAACACCGGCAATCACATCCGCGATGCCGCCGGTGGATTGGCGGCCACGCCTTTTGCTTACGGCGCCGGCCATGTGGATCCTCAGAAAGCGCTGGAACCTGGTTTGGTGTACGATATAACGACAGATGACTACATTGCCTTTTTGTGCTCGTTGAACTATACCATTCCTCACATCCAGGCGATCGCTAAGAGAGGCAATATTAGCTGCTCGCGCAGGCTAAAAAGTCCCGGCGATCTCAATTACCCGTCTTTCTCTGTAATCTTCAATGGGAAGAGGATGACAGTGAGGTACAGCCGAGAGCTAACCAATGTGGGAGCTGCGGGGTTGGTTTATAAAGTGAGCGTGGGCGGTCCGGCGAGCGTAACGGTGAGTGTGAAGCCGGTTCGGCTTTTCTTCAAACAGGTGGGAGAGAAGCTCAGGTATAGCGTTACGTTTGTGTCCAAGAGAGGAGCTAGATCGCCGGCAGCTACTGGAAGGACGGCATTTGGATGGCTGACATGGAGTAACAAACAGCACAAAGTGCGCAGTACGATTGCTTACACATGGAAGACGTGAATGGAGAGGGTGAGATTTGTGCGTAGAGGATGTTCTGGTGTATTAAGCTGTAAATTTTCTGTTTTTGATTTGGGTTTTCTTTATAAATTTTGCATCTTTTTTGTTTGATTTCTTTTCTTGAGTTTAGGCTCTGCAACCCTTGTTGGGGTCTTCTCGCTTTACAGAAGGGGAGGTCTTTTTCCCTTCCTTTATCCAAACTTCATGCTAAATGTCTGTATCACCATTTAACTTTTTATGAGATCACAGAAAGCTTTTTTTGTTGAAGAAAAAGCTTTAGCTGAAAGTGTTTTAGCTTTCCATACTCTCACTTTGGCCTGCTTGATGAGAACTGAAATTATGAAAATAAAGACTCTGGAATGAATCAATTTTAGAGGAAAGCTGAGTAGGGGAAGAAGCTTTATAGATTTGAAAGCTGTTTGGTGAAGGGATTTCAGATATTCTTCCTTTGTCAGCCTGGAGAATTTTTGTTCTGGTTTATCTTTGAGAGTAGAAATTCCAGGTACTGGTTTTAGTTAGAAACAGATTTGACAGGCTTTATATATTTACTAAGATTATTGAATCATTAAACATTACTTTTGCAGTAATAAATAAGGTTAAAACAAATCAAATTCCATCAAGGTTTATCTCAATATCACTGCATTTTCAAAGCTCAGTGGAAAACTTATTTTGCAAATAGTCTCTCAAATCTCAATATAATCAAAATTAGTATAAATGGTTTATAATGAGCAAGAACACAATATAAAAGAGCACAGATATATGAAGTTTTACTTAGTTCACAACAGGTGTCCGCATCAACAGGTAGAGACATGAAGGCTTTGCATTCTATTATTAAGTTTAAAGTCAAGCTATGAATCAAAACTAACTTATATAAGATTGTATAGTTTAAGAAAAGAAAATAACATAAGGTTAGATTGCTCGTGATTTACAAGGGGAAGAGTGGAGGATGAATTCAAATCGTAGATTTACAATCTTGACTCCAAGAATCCTTTGCATCTTCTTTGATTTGCATTGACATAGCTGGTCCTCTTCAATCCCCACTCTCCATAACCAGCCTAATTAGTATTTGATTTCATTTTTCCTCTCTCCATGTAGGCACCAAAGATGTAAACGTGCCATTGCTCTCTCAATCTCAAATTGGAAGAAGAAACCAAGGAATCATTGTCATTCACTCATCACTTTAATTTTTCATGCACGAAGCTTGTGGTCCCCTTTTTGTGTTGTTGTTCTCTAGATTGTTCTTGTTTTTTGGTCCGACCAGTAGAGGGCTGATAAAGAAAAAAAATGCTGCTGCACAAAGCCTTCACCAAGAAAACAAAATAATAGTTATAATAATAAGTAACATGGCAGGCTGCATAATTGAATTAAGAATAATAAATTCAATCAGGTTTAATACTTAAATCAAAATAACTAACAATCTCCACTTTGAATCAAATAGTAGACAAGCAAAGCTCCTTTTTTTTCCATTACCTCCTTAACTAAGAGGCCAACCAGCCTCCAAGAAAATCAAGCAATAATGGACTATGGTTTCTACGCACTACCTTAGTAAGGATATCTGCTAAAATGTCATTTATATGCACTTTCTGAACATCTATAATATCTTGAGCAAGAACATATCTAATGAAATATTTTATTCTTCATTAATTGGATTGCAGTTTAACTTTCTCACTAAATTACTACCTTCTTCTCTTTGTTTTCAAGTTCCTCAAGAAAATTTTCTTTTATTTTGATGCCTTCCTTTATTGTCTTGGTATTAACTATGTAACCTACTTCTGTTATTGATAGAACCACAACTGATTAAAGATTTGATTTTCAACCATCTTTATTTTTTTTAAAATTGTAAAAACATATTCATTTAATAATCTCCATTTGTTCAAATCATTTGCATAATCAAAATTAACGAAACCTACAATCTACTCGTTGCCACAATTATCCATTTTATAGCTCAAATCAACATAAATTGACCCTATTAAATATATTTGAAAATCCATTTGATTGTTCTCAAATATTCTCTACCAGGTTTAGCCATATATCTGTTTTTCATAATTATTGCAGAGCTCTTATTCGGTACATACCAGTGAGTTCATGATACTACTAGCAACACAAGCTTTTGAAACTGTATTCATATACTTTTGATCTTCTTCGATTGATGGTAATTGAGAGACTAAGTCTGAACTGTGAACCCGATGGAGATGAAACAGACTTGGCGATGTCAATTTCAAATTGTTTTTAGAAGTTACTGAACTTATTTGCACTGAGATAAATATAATAAGTACTTATTTCTATTTCTTATTATGTTGATCCTAAAAATACATTTGGCTTGACCTAAATTTTTATCATCTCAAATTGGTTATTAACTAAAGCCTCAAACTTTGTCATCTTTATTCTGCTAACACAAGCTATGAGCATATCGTCAACTTTCAAATATATATCATTATTTATTTGAATTTTTTTGTAATAAACACACATATCTTAGCCACTATTCTCATAAAAACTCTAAATCATTAATGAATCAAATTTCTTGTACCATTATCATGGAGAGTGCTTTAATGCATATAAAATTTTTATGACAAAATTTGATATTTCCTTTCGGTTAGCTCGTGTAGATAATATCTTCAAATTCTATATGCACAAAATTAATTTTCTTTTTACATCTATCTATTCAAACTCTAGATTATATTTCTATACTAGAAACAGAACTATTATGATTGAAATATGTTGAAAAAATTCATTAAAGTCTATTCCTTTCTTTCAAGTGAATCCCTTTATCACTAATTGAGCTTTATATCTATCCTGCCAACCATATAAAATTTTATCTTTATAGCATATTGTTCATTTACTTTGTGGTTAGTTTAAAAGTTTATAAGTACAATTCTTCTCTAATGGTTTCATTTCTTCATCCATTACATATTTTCAGAATCATTTCTCATCATGATCCATTGCATCTTTTATAAACTTGGCTCATCTTCTAGCATTTGTATAGCATTTGTTAAATCAACAAACTCTAAATGTTTTTGCCTCTATTTTTGTAATCTAAACCCTTACAAGTTTATAATTTTTGAAATTGGTCTAATCTTACGGAGTAACAACCTCCATTTGATGATCTTGAAAACTGCTTTTTGCAGGAATCAATTCTTCCTGCAATTTTATTCTTCACAATTTTACTATATTCTTAGAACAATAAGTTTGTTGGCCAAATTCTGTTAAACCTATATAATAGAACAATAAGATAATATGTGAACAAGTTCCTCCAAGACTTCGGAGTTCAGCAGCTTCAACCAACCAAGTACATCGTGATAATTTGTCTGCCATGACAATATCAAATAACCTAATTTTTCATGCAATGACTACACACGTTGAGATTGATTGTAATTTAATCAGAGAACACATTAATTTAGATCTTCTTTATATTCATTTTATCAACACTTCGGACTAACCAATGAATATTATCACCAAATCCTTGTCAAATTAAAGGTTCGACCTGCTGTGATCCAAGTTGATGGTTCTCCCTAGACCCATCATATGATAATATCCTATTTTTCATCTTTTCTCATCATATATATATATATATATATATAT